GTGTGCATCCAACACTGCTGAGACTTCATGTGATGACAGGGACCCCTGAGAAGGAGGCTGGGTGATGACGGCGACTTCCTCGGACTGATCAACAACCACCTGGCAGTTATTAGTACACCTAAATGCATCCTGCACTGTTCTATCCACCATCCCAGACATGTGGTTCAGTAAAAACGCATACGGTTCAGTCACAAGACGGTGGCTCATGCACGACTAGACAAATGGCTCTCTACTTAATGCATCAGCGACCACATTCTTTGGACCAGGGATATAGTTCAGGTCAAAACTGTGTGCTGCGAGCTTTGAAACCCACCTCTGCTCACAAGCATCCAACCTAGGCTTAGTCAAGATGTATGTCAATGGGTTATTATCCGTCCAGACTGTGAAGTGTCGCCCTTTTAGCCAATGGCTAAATTTGTCACAAACTGCCCATTTAAGAGCGAGAAACTCAAGTCGATGTGCTGGATAGTTCAGCTGAGAGTGGGAAAGTGTCTTGCTAGCAAATGCCACAGGTCTGGCCATCCTTCCATCAGGAGGCAACTGTGAAAGGACGGCCCCTATGCCATCAAAGGAGGCATCAACTGCAAGAACGAATGGAGCGTTAAAATCTGGATGTGCTAAATTGACACTGTGCACCAGCTCATACTTCAATGTTCCAAATGCTTCTTTGCACTCATCATTCCAGTCTGTTGGAGAGAGCCTTTTTTAAACTTTGGTTTGTGGCCTCTCCCTCTTTTGTGCCACAAGGTTGAGCAGCGGCTTAGCTTTGGCAGAACATCCCTCAATGAAATGGTGGTAATAGAGAACCATCCCTAAGAAAGACCGGATTTTCTTAGCACACAGTGTTTGCCCATCTTGCTCCATCAAGTCAGCTTCCTGCATATCATTTATAGCCTCCACTTTACTCGGGTCGGTCTTAACACCATCCTCACAAATAATGTGTCCCAGAAACTTGACTGACCTGCGTAGAAAGTAGCACTTCTTAGGGGAGAGCTTTAAGTTGTTGGCTGCAAGACGTCAGAAAACCATCTGTAGACGCTCAAGTGCAACCTGTTCAGATGGAGCATAGACCATGAGGTCATCCATGTAGCATAGCAGACTTGTGAAGTTCTCATCCCCAAAGATGGACATCATCATTCGCATGAAAGTGGCAGGGCTTTTCGTCAAGCCCTGGGGCATCCTGTTGTATTCATGAAGACCGAATGGGGAGGAGAACGCTGTATATTTTCTGTCATCTTCATGCAGTCCGACATTGTAGAACCCTGACGTGAGGTCCATTGTGGAAAAGAACACATTTCCACCACACGCAGCAAGGGCATGGGGCAATGGACGTGCATCTTTTACTGTTCTTGCGTTCAACCACCTGAAGTCATTGCAGAGGCGAAGGTCACCATTTGGTTTGACAACGAAGACAAGGGGTGATGAGTATTCACTCTGAGATTTGCGAATGATCCCTAATTCCTCCATATCATTCAGAGCAGTCCGTAGCTTGTCATAGTGGCATGGCGGAACCCGCCTGTATGGAAGTCTGAAGCTTAGCAGATAGTAGGATTATGGTTACTCAAACAAATCGTCTTCAGAAAAAACTTTCAAATTAACTGTGAGTTTGCACAGATTACACTTTATTTGGTACAGTAAATGGTCATTTCTGTTTCAGAGAACTGCACTATCTGTGGAATATTCCGGATCTCTGCCCACTGCGCCACCTGCCTGCTGGGGCTGTGCTCAGAGTGTGACCGGCTGTACCACTCCTACCCAGAGAGGGCCAACCACCGACGAACAGCTGTCTCTTCCTTGTTATCTTCATCATCATCACAAAACAAAAACAGTCACAGGTTAGCAATATAGAATATGTGCGTTCTGACTTCTTTCAGTCAAAATCAATTATTACTCAGCTTTGATGAATACTTGATTCTGAAGGCCAATCACGGCATTCTGAGGTCTATTATTTAAGATTATCTGTCTGATCATATCAAAATCAACAAAGTGATCCCTTACTTTTCTCTCTCTTCAGGATTCATTTAAAAATATTTAAACTTTGATTTAAAGGTCTCAACAAGTGTATATGTCCGCCTCCTAGGGTTGAGGAGTTATTTTATTTGCTGCTCAGCTTTGGTTAAGTGTGTCCTTCCTGTGAATTAGAGATGAGGTTTTTTGTTAAACTATATCATATTTTTTGTTAGGAATAAAGGGAAATTAAATGCCTACAAATCTACATACTGTTTTCTATTGCCAAGAATATGCTTCCTTTCAGGGTTTATATTGCCCTCAAAAAGCTCAACCCATAAACATCTTTAGAACACAGTCAGTAAATGCTGACCATGGCAAAGATTAGTGACAATTAAAACATAATGGAAGTCAAAGTCCTAGAACTTAGTGCTACTTGGACGATGATATGATAAGTGAGTGAACAAAACCAATGTCTGGATGCTCAGTATATTCAGTCTATACAAATTAACGCAAAAGTCTTACAGTCCCTCTCTCTGTTTCAGTTCTTCCACCTGGTGTTGCCTGCACTGCACTAAAGTCAACTCTGTCAACAACGTGCTGTGTGAGGAGTGTGAGCGCCCTCGCTTGGAGTTGATCAGCTCTAAAGCAGATGAATCTCAGCCTGCCACCGTCACTGGTCTGTTTCTTCTCCTGGTTACAGCTCCACTATCCAGTCCCACCTCCCTTATGTGTTATTTCGTAAACTGAGATTAACTCAAATAAAATAAATCTATAGCCTCTATCCTTCCCTTTCTTCTCTTGCGGTCACATTTAAAAAAAAATGAGCCTTGTAAACTTGAAAAATGTTTGATTTAAAGGTTAATGCTGTTCGTAATTTAAATTATGAAAGCAATACTCTATTTTAATATTGACACCTGCAGAAAGTGTTGAGTTGTATTGACAGCTAATTCTAATTAAGAAAGAGTGGAAAAGAAGACAGCTTTAACGGCCATTTTGAAAACTTTAATTTGTTCTTGTGTTCGTGTGTTCTTCTCAGAGTGGCAGTGCAAGAGCTGCACCATGGTGAATGCAGCCAGCAGTATTCTGTGTGAAGTGTGTGAAAGACCGCGTTTAGCCACACGACCTCCAGTGACCCCGTCACACCCACCAATCACACCCCCTAGACCTCCAGCACCAGTACTGGGCATGCCCGGTGACCCAGATAGCCAGGTCAGTTAAGTAAGAGTGTGTGTGTGTGTGTGTGTGTGTGTGTGTGTGTGTGTGTGTGTGTGTGTGTGTGTGTGTGTGTGTGTGTGTGTGTGTGTGTGTGTGTGTGTGTGTGTGTGTGTGTGTGTGTGCAGGGCCGTGGGAAGTAGGGGTGCTGAGGGTGCCCCCTGGTGGAGGACAGGGGATCTGCACTTCCACAATACAAAAAAAACGAATTTTCAGCCTTGATGTAACAACAT